GGCTAGAGTCGCTTTGAACTTGTGCATCTTCGGAAGCGGAGCTGCGCGGAAAGTTACAAAAAATGTTGTGCACACCGCCACGCGAAACGACGTCGCGCGAACTTCCGCCAACATCGCGATGACGTCATATTTGCCGCACGCACCTATGTTGTTATTGTTCTTGTTATGCAATAAAACATTTTAAAAACTTGCGGACGCGTCGAGTATAAATCAGCCTTGAGCGTGTGTGCGTTAGATACAGTGAAGAAATTTTTTTTTTTATTGTAGAGAGTGTGTTAATTTGTGCAATGATAACCTACCAGCAATTATTATAATTTTTTTAATATATTAGAATGAGTACATTACAATATAAATTTATTAGAACAAGTACATTATTATTTATGAGCTTAAAAACAAGATTCAATAAGAATATTGTACCTAGAGAGGAATGCACAATGTAAACATGAAACATATTCCATTACCTGTATTGTACTGTGGTACAGTTATGGAGGCCCTTCATAATGCAGAGGTCAACCGCCTGCTCTGCCAATAGTTAGAAATGGCACACATACATACTTTTATACTATATATAGTATACAAATTTAAAAGTATCTAAATGTATATATAAAAAAAGTTTTTATTTTTTAAAGTGCTTTATATACTTATGAATGTGAACAGTCTTCCTCTATTCACACTTATTCAGAAATCAGACCCTCAAATTAACTCCTGACATCCACACTGTATTTTCATCCGATCTCACAGTGATGACTTTTATCTTTTAATATTATTTGAATATTTGAAATTCAAATGATACAAAACTCCAACACTCCTTTCTGCAAGACCACCATAAGTGAAGAAAGTAGAATTATTAGATGCAAAATGTGTAGACATAAAAAGTTACGTCAAAATCAAAAGGCTCACCTTCAAAGTGTTTATGAAAATCGTGCCCGCCCTGTTCAAATTTCCCTGTCTTTCTGAAGTTACTGTGAGAAACCGGTATGGAATGGCAAAGCGACTGGCTTGTAGGTTTTTATAGGGCTCTGCTTTGAAGTGCTCTATAAGGAATAAGACCTCCTTAACGCAGTTTGGAGAGAGTGTGAGAGGGAGAAAGAGGAATGATCTTCAGCTGAAAATAACAATCCTGTTTCCCTAACGAGCACATCTCACTCTCTCTCCATCTCCATCTCCATTTCCAAACCTCTCAGTGGAAAACACTGGCCAATTAAACAAGGGAAAAGATGCACACTTGCTGGTTCATCTGACAAAAAAAGGCATTAAAAACACAACGAAAACACAACAAAAAAGCTAAAAGAGTGCAAAGCTGCGAACATTCTGCATATTCAGCTCAGCGTTTTTCCGTCTTGTCTTCTTACATTACTTCCTTGCCTATTTCCTGTTTTCCAGCTCGCGTCTCCCTCCGTTTTTGCACTATATTTGCTGTGACCTGCTTTTCTCCTGCAGCTAACCAGATAACCTGAATAATTACCTCACAAAGAGCTGTGTGTGTGTGTGTGTGTGTGTGTCTTGCTGCTGGTATTCATTGGTGTGATGGTTACTAGGCATGGCACAGCCGTCTTCACTTCCTCTCAGGGCCACCTGCAGGGGTTAAAGTTCATCTGAGGAACTAAAGTGATAAATTGAGGGTGGCCAGTATCTCACTCTTTTCGCTAACATTTTCCCTTAGTTATTTTTAAACGCGTTTCAACACCTGCAGGTCTCTGAGATGGAGTTATTTGAAGCCAAACGGCACAATAAAAGTGATAGGATTTGTCACGCTCCTGGCAACGCAAGCCACAGATTTATTAAAAATTCATGCAAATTAATTAATTTGTAAATTAAGACGCATTAAGAGACAACGGAGGTCAATTTTATGGTCCTGCCAATGAAGTCTGCCACTGGAACATGTAGCGAGACCCTAATTATGCAACAAACAACAGTGTGTGTGCATAATTAGGATATTTCTTCTCGTTCTAGTGCATGTGTGTGTGTGTGTGTGTGTGTGTATACAAGATTATATGAAAATATGAATTAGAGAGAAAGGGAAAAGTTTGTTTGTTCACTAAAACTGCTCCTCCTCTCAAGACGGTTGCCCTATCATGGACTAGGTCACTACTAAGGGCGATTTAAATGTCATGTTTAATGACTAGCTGCTATCACACTGAGCAGAGAGATCACTCAGGGCATTTAGAGGGCAACACACACTACCTGCAATGTTTTCATAACTAGAATTTGTTGGAGCGGCTCCATTTAATAATCATCATATCTGGAGTCTGAAGAAAGCCCTTCAGGTATGATGTCATAATCATGGCTGGTTGAATGTGGAGTTGGATGCCCATTAGCGTAAAACCCTGAGATTTCGTCATCTAAACATAACAAATTAAGCCAATTTAAATTTTGTGATTCAGAAAGCTTTTTTGCTGCTGACTTGCATTCTGCTATCTTTGCAATTTTTGTTTCCTCTCATCATTTTAAGCCAATCACCTGAGCCATTAATGTGTCACATGACTGAACACTCTGGAGCTGCAGGACAATGATATAAAAATACAGACAGATGTTCAACGAGAATGTACACTAACACAAAAGCAACTATTCTGAGCCATGACACCATTTTTAAAAATGAGGGCAGCACTCACCGGTTTCCACATCCTGTGCGAAGAAGTGCAGTCCATCTGTGATTTCGGTGACATAGACGGCTCGGTATTTCGCCACACGTTCCTTCTCCTCTGTGAGCTGAGCCACCTCTTCTTTTGGTTTCTCTTCATAATTGGCCCAGAGCTGTCGATAAACACACATTTTCCACAGTTTAAAACAGGATCTATAATTACCAATACACCACAGCCACATTGCAACCCATTTTACTTTAATAAGTAAATGGGGTTAATTTTGATTTCATGTTCATTTAATCCTATTAACACCTCAGACCGAACAAGATCAGAGCGGTTTAATCCATTGGCATCAGTTTAAACATTGCGTTTGTTGATAATCCCTTCACATTCACATGATGGGTCGGTAACCTATTTACCCACCCTTGAGAAGGTCACAATGACCTCTGCACTTCATGGACGACAGGCGGAATTGGCTAGATCTGAGCAAAGCCACAAGAGAAAGAGGGCAGAGACTCATTAAGACTTGTGGTTGCAAATCACAAATTTGAGAGCGGATTTCAGCAACGTGCCAAAACGAAGGACGAGAAGTTGAAATGTCAAGAAAAGAGCACCCGCGTGCAGTCGAAGCAGTTTGTTTTGCTTACTAAGCACTGAAGGTTGAGTCTATTACGAAATACAAGCATGACAAATTAACAGGCTCTTACGCAATCGCCCCTTACTTCAGTTCGGAGGCTTTATTAGCAAATGATGTTCATCAGCTATTGAAGTGTTCTCACGGAGAGCAGGAGGCAGCTAATTACAAACCAGACTTCTATATGCGCTTCCTCACGGTGCTGGTTTTAGCTAATTATGTCCACCAGGACTGCAAGGCCGACATTTACAGGCCAATCTCACCACCAGATTGGGAATTACCATATATGTATGTAAAAATACAGCTGGTGACATGCAGTAAGCCTTGAAAACCCAGCCACCAAATGATAAACTACAGGGTTAAACTACCCAATTACATCTGATTATTTCCCCCGAGGAGTGACAAAAACAAGGGAACATGGAGGAAAATTATTCCTTGGGGAAAACAGCAGGGTTAATGAAGATTTAAACATGCCATGCTCTGCAAACCACTCCACAGCAAGGGTGCTAGTCTAACCCCACTATCCACAATGCCCTGGCACAGTAACACAAAGTTATTATCAAACCTGGAGGACCAATCACAGTCACCCAGATTTGTGTGTCAACATTTGTTACAGTGCCGACAGTCAATGCCATTTCTGGCACCACTGCGGCCACGTGACCTCTGACATGCGACGTAGAGGCAAGGGCATTTGAGACACGCGTGAACGGGCGAACATATGCAAAAACCCACTCGCACGTATCCTCCACTGCAAAAGCACAAAAGCAGCCACAAACACACACAATGACTCAAAGAGACACACTGCACCCTGGGCAAATGACCTTCTGTGAGCAACCAACCATTCTTGTTTGTTCCACATGAGTGCAGGTATATGACTGCTGCTGGGCGGGGTCATGAAGAGAAAGCATTTGTGATGTATTCTGTCATTGAGCTGCCTGTGGCCTAAATCCATAGCAATAAGCCACAAAAAACAAGTGTGACAGAGTGCGAGAAGGAACGAGTGAAACGACAGCTTTGTTGCACGCTAACCACAATCCTCAAATTACAAAAAAACACATTGGCAGACATCTACAGAAGCAGAAACATGAGCATCTAACATGGGCTAATGAGAGACTCTGATTGGATGAGCCTGTTAGAAACCATGGAAAAATTCTGAAAAACACACAGTGCCCATAGAGGATACAGATGATACATTTATATTTATTCAAGTCACTGTAATGTCAACAGTAACCAAGAGTTCACAGTACCATAGTGAATGTGTAAATGTTAAAGAAATGTTATCAATTGTAAAAGTCAAATAATTTAATAATTAAAAAAATAATTTATGCATTTAGCAGACGCTTTTATCCAAAGCGACTTACAGTGCATTCAGAGTAGGGCTGTGCGATATTGAAGAATGCGATATGCGATACCTTGTTAAAAAATGCGATATTCGATATGCGATACGATATTGCTTAAAGTGTGTAAAATCTATTTCAATTATATTTTAAAATATTGAAAAATTATATAACAAATTTGTTTCACATTCTTTCTTGGAAAAGAAAGAATCACTACAACGTCTGCAAATGACCAGCAGTGTTTTAGCATTACATAAAAAGATATGTCACAATTTAGAAAATGTAATTTTAACATCAGTGTGAACATACAAACAAAAAAAATTAATGACACTAATTTTATATCATTGTAACTTTGCTTTCCATACACTAAGTACTTCTTCATATACCACAGCAAAAACTATAATCTGAGAAAGTTCAGACAAAGGCAAGTGAACAGTCAGTAAAAAAAAAGAAAGAAAAAAAAGAAATACACAATTTACCAGCATAGATAATATACACAGTAGTATTCAGGTACAGAAATGTAATAATCAAGTGTAAAATAACACTGCATAGTGTTCACTGTATGAATTAAACTTAGATTATTCTTTGTTATAGCCGTTTTGTTGTTTGATTAACATTAGTGACATTCAGCAGCACGTATTTATAGGCTGCTGTCCCTTTAAATCTGACTGCATGGATCCAGTATCATGATACACATCCGATTTTTTTCTCAGCTCTTTATATTCATTTAAAACATAACCGACTGCGTTTACGAGAATGATCATGGAGACGGGTACTATTGACATAATTCTGAGTGTATGTGTCTTTTCAAACATGAGGAGGAGGAGATACGAAAGACGAATCAACTCGGTGGTCGCGTGCTGTCTGAAACGCGTCTCTCGTGTGTGTGCGCGCGCTTTGCACGTGTGCGGCAGAACTGAAGAGACGCATTCGCTCAGTTATGTCATTTGTAATGCAAATATGACATTATTTGACCTAACCCTAACCTAACCCTACCCTTACCCCTAACCATAGCCCATAACAAAGACATCTAAAAAAAATGTCATCTTTGCATTAAAAATTGCATAACTGAGTGAATGACACTTAATGACAGTTGTCATAAACATGCATAAAAACCCTTCATATTCATGACACGTGTCATGTCATGATTATGTAGGTGTCATGTCATGATTATGAAGGTGTCATGTCAGTCTTATGCACACCCCTTCAAGTAAAGTGTAACCATAGTTATTAGTAATTGTTTATTGAACATTGGTGTTTTTTTTATTCATAAAATAAACCACTTAAGGTTGTGCGATTTTACCTCAGTGAACAGTCTATGCCATGACCTTGGCTGAAGTCACTGTAATGCATGCTATCGAGTGGTTTATTGCTGTATTAGTAGTATCAGTCATTGTAAGCAGCAGTTTATTTGTCAATAGTATATTAGTGTATATTAATATATTAGTACAATTAGCCTGTTGTGTTGAGCACTCAAGGAGAGGTCAGACTTCTCTTCAGGGACTAAAGATACAGCAGAGTTACATTCATAAAAACTGCCTCTCTCACACACTGAGTTCTGGGAAGGGGGCCGTTCCAAACGCTGATGAAAGGTGACAGCGTGTCAATTCCAATAGAGTGTGTTCCACCCAGTGAGAGCGAATCCCCATCAACACCCAGTGCGCATACATGAACAAACACACAGGGCCCAAGGGAAAGAAGCAAACGTATAGTCCCAGTTCATACCGGAACACACTGAACTTTACCTGCCAAATGAATCGACATCCAAGAGAGTTATATGCATCAAACACTACAGTGAGCCAGGGAGAAGAACTACAATACCCATAAGTCACTGCACCCGAGGCAGGCAACCAGGCTGTCTTTTTTCGGCTAACAGAAAGTAAAGTAAAACTTGGCCTAATTGAGCTTTTTTTAATAAGGGCTTTTATTTTGTCACATAGTCATTGTAGTGTATCAGACCGAATCAGACAATTTAAGATTCGATCAAGAACATGGTTGAAACACGAGGAGCCAAATTCCACAGAAAGGCCCAAGGCAACAGGATGTTCGTAAATCAGATCCTGGTGCCACGAGTCTGAAGCAAGCCTAACCAACCAACTCTTTCACAGAACAGCTTGCAACATTAACACAAAAGAACAACTCAGGAAGGAGATTGTCAAATTTGGGGCAAGTAACCAAGATTAATGGTCAAAGACACAGCATATCATGACCATCACATGAGGAAAATCATTAGCAGAAACTGCGTTGGGTGGTTTCCCCCACCTAGAAGACAAAGACCAGACTCAGATTCCTTATGAAACCTTTTAACCTATGGTCTTCACAGAACATGTCCTTATGTTCACAGAATGGCACAGAAACTGTCTTTTACAGATGTAGATGCACCAAAATGAACTCAAAAATACTTATAAACGAATATCAGTCTATTGCTTAACTCCATATCATGTATGTAACCCACACATTTGACTATCATGTTCTAATCACTTATTGTGTATGTCTTTTTAATAACTATTGAATAGCTTAAGGGTTCATATTCATGTTTAGTATGTGTGTGTTTGAATCTTCTTGCTTGAAACGTTTCTTCCAATCAATTCTTTGTCAAATGTATCATATTCTTGTTGTAGAAATCATGTCCAAAATGATACTCTGCAAGAGCAGGAAAAATCGGACCATGTGACTGATAAGATAACGTGTGATTTATGTATTGGGAGGAGAAATATACAACACCCTGAGCTAAGACATTGTCTAATTGGGCAATTTAAAAATTTGGGGTGTGTCCAAAAGCCCAGTTTAAATACTCAGGACACCATCAAATTATGCTTTTTAGCTTTTAGCTTCAAGTCATCACTTTTAGCCATGCGGCTTTTAGGTTTTTTTCCTTGCCTTTTTGCTACCGCTTTTTGACGCTGCTTTTTAGCACTCTTTGAGCATGCTCCTTATTTAAACTGAGCTGGATGATGACATCACTGAATTCAATGATGAACTGTCTTTAACTGAAAAATTGGTGTTTACTATTGTCATTTTGCATTATTGACACTATTTTCCTAATTAATGCGGTTCAGTTGCTTTGTCACAATCTGTATTGTTAAAAGCGCTATATAAATAAAGGTGACTTGACTTGACTTGACTATTTACAATAAATACATTTTTTTTTTCCATTTAGAAAAAAACAACAACAAAAAACAATAGTGCCATGATGTGATA